GTGTAACAGGTCGTATAATAAAATGAATGCTTAATTTTACTAATTAATGCTTTGCCACGTCGTCGTCCCGTCGTTGATCGGATTCACGACGTTTCTTTTCAACTTTGTAAACGTCTCTATTCAATATTTTACAATTTTCTTAAATTTACTACGATATTCTTACATTTATGCAAGTATATTACAAAGTAAAGTGTTAGGTTAGTATGAAAGAATCCTGGAAGACGTAGTTATTAAGTTAGTAGAATATTGCATTTTCTGCAATATTGTTCTCATATAATGTACCTACTTACATATTTCCTGAAACTCCTTGTTGTTCTTGGATCCGCGCTCTTAGCTGAGTTACTGATGTTGCGTTACTATTGAAGTGGTTTTCTATCATAGTAGATTTAACACTGTTATTACTTACTTCGTTTCTTGGCTACCGCGTGAAATCGGTCACTCGGCATTGGTATAAAAACATTGACAGTCACCTACGAGTAGAAAGGGACTGGAGAACGAATTTATCGAACAATAGCCCTTTGAAGCACGAGTGTCACGACTATGTACTTTTGCGTAAAACATACACAAATCGGTTTAACTCCCTTTTAGTGCCAAAGTGCACGGCATAAAGAACTCTGGTATCGGATTAATGGTCAAAATTGGTCAATTTCAATACTTTTTCATGTCAGGCTTCCAGGTATCCGTTACTTACGGGAACGAAAATTTTTCGCTTTATACTTAATCCTGTGAAAGTGGAACTTTATCCCTGTACTCCGAGCTATTTAAACTATACCATGGTATCGATCCGTTTAAAATGCACCACTTAAAGCGGATTTGACCTAAGAAGAGACAATTTATACTCTGAATTACAAATTTACTTTAGCTCTGCATTTTAATCAACTAGTAAATGCTTCAGGAACACACATTGGCGTCAGTATTACATGATGTTGGTAGGTGGGAACGTCACCCAATTCATATTAACTCCATGTCCTTTATTTCTATTTCGGTGATAAATTTTCCATTAAAAATAGGTAGTAATGGTAGGAATTCAATTAATGTTAGTCTAAAGCCCCTTTTGATTACAATTCCGTTTGATGCGTTTCGTATTACACGCTAATAGTATTATGCGGTCATATCGATATTTTGTTCACAGAAATGTGGCCCGCGAATTGATTATATTATCTGTTTATAGGACCAGTATGAGGACGTGGAAATTGTATAATTATATTCCGATTGTCTCTGTACCTAATAGTATCCGCCGAGAGGGATGTTGATTAAGTTGCGCGCGTCAATCGATTGGTATATTACAATATTGTAAATTGCGCTTGCTGCGGTTAGGAGGCACAGGTAGATATGACTATTATTCTTGTATCAAGCCTCATTGTAGCTTGTAGTGACACGCGAGGCTGTCGAGGCGGCCTGGTGACCGCCTTCTGTCAGACCAACCTTAAGAGATGTTACAGGGGAAAATACAGCAACGGAAAAACTACGCAATTCAAAATGGAGTAAATTCAATGAAATATTATTGAAGTAACATAAATTCGATTTTATACAAAGATGGAATCCTTGACTTGGTCTCCAGCGGCCTTCGGTGCACTAGTAATGCAATAAAATGTCTTCCTATTGAACGTTGATGGAGGCTAATTTACTAGTCCTTCAGGTCAATGTTTAATTATTATCAATGTGAAGGTCTAAGTTGATTTATGAAACTGTTTCTGCGAATCACAGCGGATTTAGCTTGTTAAAGCTAAATTATTCAGGAGCAAAACTGTTTCGTCCTTTGTTGATTTCGTTCTATGCCAAATAAGAGTATCTGCACAAGTATGTCAATGGAAATGAAATGAAATTGCCTTTACTGGAACTCATCTGCACTTGTTAATTTTTTCATTGAGTTTCGACTTACTAATGAATTATGATCCTAATTGAATTCTAGTTAACTGTTTCATAAAACTGATATTGTTGTTAAATGAAGTAATAAAAACTACGGCAACATCAAAATAAAACAACAGAATATCGATTGTAAATGCAATTACAAATTGCTGTTTCAATTAAAAATGAAGATGAATTCAGTAACTACTCCAGTGTTTCATGGAATGGAAAAAGCAGGCGGAACCAATCGTTTCATATTTAATGTATTAATCATTACTTGTTCTAGGAAACGTGCTGTATCGCTTTGTTTCTAGCATTGTTAAGAACTGGAACGAGACGATATCAATAGAAGTTATATTAATGGAACAAACTCGTCTCTATTCGATAAAATATGTATCATGCAAGCTTCTAACTTTGTTCTCGTTACTGTAGGTCGAATGAAAGCCTCGTGATTCTGTCGATATTTGTAGGACACGACGCTGACGTTTTTTGTTTCCAAATTCCGAACAAAACTAGCGTTGACCATTGAATAGTTTGTGTGTAATTACACTAACAAATGTTTCGGCTTTCACTTTTTTTAAGTGTCATCGACATACTATTCATTCCTATGTTATAAAAATGATCAGAAATAGAGACATGCTCCATCGTAGACCGCTTTATCGCTTACCACCAGGCGAATAAGTGGTCAAACGTCGGCCCATCAAATATAAAAAGACTTCATATATTTTATCCTTATGCATTTCATGTTCCATTAAATCAGAAACGTTGGATGATACTCGTAACATCACCCGACTGTGTGTAGTCGAGTGTTTAGTCAACTGTATTTAGTGCAGTGCAGTGCAATGATGAGAATGCATATTATACTTACCTGCGGTCCCTTGGGAAATGTTCACTCAGACAGATTTCAGATAGGGTATTTATTTGTGCTTCGTTTAGAACGGTCCTCGATCTCATAAAAGTGAGTGTTTCGCAAACTGTGTCTTCTAGCGGAAACTTTGTGAGTAAATACTTACAGGGAAAGGTTTCATTATAGTTTTCTATATCAGATACGAGTTGTGGAACCACTGATATTGTTTTTAAAGTTTATTAGTGTTGTTTTATGATCTTTGCTATAGAGACTTAGGACTGGAAAAATTTCGGTGTATTCGCAATTATTAGTGATAAATCGAAGTTGGATTTAGATACGTCCCCGAACCATAATAGGTCGGAGTCCTGAGGTCTTAGTACGAATGTGCTTTACGTTTAAAGTATTCGAAACCAGTACGCGTTTGGCACTCTGACTGGCCGGCGCCAATGAACCAACCAATCAGAGCGCCGACCGCGCACTCGTTACGATTACTTTAAACGTAAAAATAACTCGTACTAAGGCCTCTGTTACTTAGGATTAATAACATAGCTGACAAAAGGTGTCTGTAGGTACTGTAAACCTTTGTCAACCCCTATAAGCCGCCTCTGAACTTTTACAGGTGTGAGCTTATTATGTACCTGAAAAAATATTCCTTGTATAATGTTATTATTGGAAAATAATCTGTTATTTTTAAAGCACAAGGGCGTACCTACTTAGGGCACCCCTTCGCATTATTTTCTTCCTTGGAAAAATACTTGAAGCGTAAATATTTTAACGTAAATAGATACATATGATATAGGTATCTCACTATAACGTATCGAGTGCCCATCGTCTTTGTTTTTTTAGAAAAATATTCCATTTTCTGGAATGGTGTATATCTCTAACGTTTCTTTATAATTGTTTCATGGAAGTATTTTATTTATAAGTAGGTATGATTCCTTTTAACAAGATGAGAAAATTGATTTGATAAGAACGTATTGAAAAGCAAGAAAGAAGCCATATAAATAAAATAACTTATTTAATTAAGTAATAAAATTGCGAACGTTTTTTTATGATTTCTGTTAAAAGCTTTAATGCCCTATTAGATTTATTGAAAGATCAATAAGTAATAGAAAACTGGCACGGATTACAGTCGGCCAATTAATGGTTTTCAAAGCTAGAAATAGAACAAAATTGTAGAGAATCAAAGTCTTTCAGAAATATGAAATAGTACCTATTAGTAGCCCTTTCATAGAACATCGAACTTCGGGATAGTAATGACGCTGTACCTACTCGTAGGCTTTGGAAAAATGTGTTAGTGTTTGCCAATAATAAACGTAAGTCAAATAGGTAATTACATGTAAAGAACTATATATTCGGAGATAATATCACTTCTGAGAAGAGATAAATTAGGGCCATTGCCTCATTGACTGGTAGAAATACTAGTATATTGCAAAATGTGTTTTTGAGTACAAATGGTGTCTTTCACCCTTAGGTGGGGCAGTCACAAAGGTACTACTACCCTGACACTCTTTGCGTCATCCATATTCATCAATCTCTTGTGATGCGAGGCTTGCTGGCTTTTAATTTTTCGCTTTTTGTGTCAATATTGTAGTGGGTATGAGTACCTACTATGATCTATTGAAATAATCTTTTATGGTCCTTCGTCATTCCGGTTTGATATTCGATTGTCTAAACCGTTCGAGAATAGAACATATTACTCAAAGTGCACTTCGACTAGTCTAGTTCTGTTACGTTGGCTAAGCAACCAGACATTATGTTTGGTTGGAAATTAGTTTTTCTATTTTAAAATGTTCTATAAACCGGATGATGGAATGACGTCCAATGCACATTTTTAGATTCGCCCCCTCAAGTGAGGAACTACATGACCGGCGATTAGTGGGTGTCTAGTTACCGTTACGGGGTATACCGGACGTGAAATTATATTTTGTGCGTGGTATATGTCATTCTCTGCAAGTTTAGATAACATTCATTCGAGGTAAACTGGCTTATCTATTGTAGGCACGTTAGCTTCAATCGGCGAACAATAAGTCTATCTAGTCATAGTGTATTGTCGGTCACAACTCATACCGAAAGTCAGGATACCATTCACTCGAGATAAAATACACTTGGGTCTAATTTGTAATTCCATGAATAGAGATTTTATAACAATTTTAATACATTTCATTACCTAGAATTCCACAATACGTATATTATTGTGGATCTCTTTGTTGTTTCTAGTTAATTACGGATTTGTACTCTTGTATTAACTTCATCGTTGCAGTCAATAAACAGGCGATGGTTCCACTAATTAATTAGATGTTCTATAAAGATCGAGGCGTTTATCTTTTAAGTTCTTTCAATCCTTGTATAATAGTCAAGTCAAATAAGCCGCGTGGCGCGACGATAATGTAATAAAATGTAAACTATTGACATTGTAACATAAACTTTGTCTTAATTAAAAAGGGTGCATTTGAAAAGTGGCGGAAACAATGTGAAGATAAGCGTGAAACTTATTGGTTCAGAGATCCTTTCGTTAATGAGTATCTGTTAACTACGAAAACATGAGTCTTGTTTATAAGAATATTTTCATGCGTGCTCGATTTCGTAGGATTAAGATGTTTGGTACATCTAGGTTTGAAATCTGATGTAGGTTTTCCCAAGTCTGACCCGTGAGTCATGTATGTAATCGCGTTCAAACATACGGATCTTTAGGTTTTCGTTTTTTAATCCGTGACTATAAGAAGGGTGTTAATATGTGTCTTTTTTTAAGGGGGGAAAATCATCGAATGACTACTCCCGCCTGGGTGAGGCGGGAGGGAGTGTCAGACTCTTACTGACTAAAAACCACCCCGTTCCTTCTCCTGCACGTCGAGCCGGAGCCACGGTTACCCATTAGGTTCTCCGCGTCGTTAATATGTGTCTTGTGGTATCGATTCATTGAACCGATTTGAGTTTTTGTTTTATTGTAAGCTTTGTTCATCATGGTTCTTATTATGGAAAGCGGAGTTTAAGGGATGTTATTTATAGCGTCGTCTGCCTCGATCAATTTAAAGGTTTGTTTTAATATTTAGATTCAAAAGCCACTTGTTAGTAGTTGTTAGAATGTTACATTTCGCATTCGATCAATCCTGTTCGAGTTCTCGGTGAAGGTTATCAAATTTCGCTGTGACAGTTGGAAAGGAAACTCGAGTTAAATCACGGAGTAGTTCGATAATGTGATAATTTCCGTTCTCTACAGTTTGTAGCTTATCATTAATTGACTGACGGGTTTAGGCAAACATTTGAACATCAAGCCGACCGATTGAATTTAGTCAACTATAAATGGATCCATCGGCGCTTCTTGACTTTGGAATTGTGGATACTAAGATTGATTGTAAGGAAAATTTTTCGTGTTAATTTTATTGGCACAAGGAAAAAACCGGAGTTAATTTTAATATTCTCTGGAAAATCTCTTGAAAAGAATCAATAGCGAAGATTTCATGTTAAAATTATAATCTTCTTTCTATCGAGCTAATTAATTTTCTTAAATAGCTTAAGTCTCAAAGTTGTTTTTTATGGGCCGTTTATGTTTTTCCTCTCGCGTAAATAGGTTAAGTATTAACTCGATTCGATTGGATGTCGATGTTTTAATAAATTGAACGTCATCGTGATGGTTGTTGGGCACGTCAGTGGAAGATTTCGACAGTTTTCTGTCTACATTCAGCAATTGGTTAATTAATTGTCTGTCAAACTATGACGTTTATGATTAAACTCATCAAATGCTTGGGTTTCCGTAGCAGTTATGTAATATTTGTGTTTGTACCTATGTATTAATGTAATGAAGCATGTTAGTTTGAAGATTCGGTATTGTCAATAAGAAAAAATATCCTTTTAGTTTTAAAGCCTAATTGGAAATTGAGTTTCCACCTACTTATGTATATAATTTGCTTTATGAAACACTAATATCTGGCTTTGATTAATATCAATAGAATACTAAGTTGAAACCGCGCATTAACTACTATATATAGTTGGTTTAGTGTGTTTTATATAGTGCGGACGGGATTTCTTTTCTTTCTAAACTATTGCTCTAAATATTTTCTATATAGGTGCAGTCTAGAATTTTCTGAACGTTCTAAGTCTTAATCAAATACCAGTGAATGTAACATATAACGTTTGTCATCTGCCCTTCACAACTTACTTACGGATAATATGAAATTCCTAAAGGTATCAATGTGGTCGACACTCATTGATTTATATCAACTTCTGTACAGATTATACACCATATATTTTATCTTAAGAGTATTGGGACTGTCTACTGCTGTACTATATGCTTGCTAAACAAAAGAGGGATTGGCCTTAATCTCCACTTCTGATTAGCCGGTTGCGAGATTAAAAGCATAGGTATATCAGAGCACAGCTGCCAAGCCTCTGTTAAATGCGTAGTCGCTTAGTGGGCTCTTACGACAACCACGGAAAGATAGAGTAGGTAACAAATATATTGTATTCTATCGTCTCCATTCGGTTTAAACAACATCCCGCAGAATATTCAATAATACGGAAATGTAATCTAATTCTCAGGCCTAGCACTGACTGCAGCGATCGCGTCCTTTTACTGATTACTTTCATGAATATTAACGATGTGTTCTTCGTGTTTCAGTGCTTACAATCTTCGGCACGAGCGTGTATGGGGGCGCTGTGATCGCGACGTCGCTCGACTACTTCTTTGAGCGAATGATGATGCTTAAGTGGGTCAGTGGCTTTATATTTTATTTATTTACGTAATTGAGTAAATTGTCTCAAATGGTATAATTGTAGAGAATTAAGTTGTTTGGAATTCGAGGCCGATGTTCTTTGTAAGGGTCGTCTCCTAGACGTAGTATTTACAAGAAATTGTAGTAAGCTTTCGTCGGAATTATTGATTTATTTATTACTCCTTAATGCCTTATTCTAACGAATCATATCGATACAATCTTAACAATTGACAAATGCTCTACACTCCTATAGGCATATGTTTAACATTTGCAAAATATTCATTGTGATATAATATTGCGAATTCGAATGCAAATGCTCACGCAATCAACCACAGATATAAAAGTATACCCATGACATATTACACAAGATGATTTTATTTGCATTTAAACTAAACTTTTGCTTAGGCAAGTATTGTTAAGTGCTAAAAATAAGTGCTTATCATATAAAGTCTGTATGTATGTACGTTGTTCGGGTCAAGTCAGAGTCATAAATAATGTCAGTTCTTACTTAGTAGTGAATCACGGTGAATTACCTACCTATATCTCATTGTGATTGATTGGTTTTTAACGGTGGAACAGATAGGAATAGTTTATGTCGTTTAAATTAAATTGCATTGCACAAATTGTAAGTATTTTGCGATTCGTGAAAAGTTTTATTAGGGTTTTCGAAATAGTTATAAGGTAGAATATGGGATTATATTGTTCTCACATGAACCAACGAACAATGGTTGTATTGTGAACCTGACGGAAAAAGAGTAACCTATGGAGTTTCTTACTCGTTCATCTCCATAGGAATCTACACTTTGGAACGAGCAAATAGCTTCACTAGAGGACTGACTGGCAGACTGACATGTTTTTATATTTCAATTTTTTTTTGGACGTTCATATTGTCTTTGTCATCAAATCATCATCCTGTTCTATTGTCTTCCTGTTCTAATTCAAATAAATTATTTTGATTTTGACTTTGATGTATAGCGCGTATGGTATAAAGACGACCTTATAAAGGTCGCAAGAGTTTACCCTGCATGCAGGTCACTTACAATACCAACCTGCCGATCTGGAAACTCGAAGATACTCTATCTTCAACGGTGCATATCTGGTGGTAGTATTCAGCGGTTTATGAGTGCCTGATATGAAGCTTATTGTGATTGAAATAGAGCTTAGTGGTGTGTTATTAAAGAGGTATGTGTCCTTCTATAGACGGACACAAAGCTCATGATGGTAATGGTAGTTTAAATTTAGGTTCGGTGTGGACTTTAATCTAGATATAAATGAAACCCGTTTCCCGTTGTCACGCCATAACTTGAGAACGGCTAGATCGATTTGGCTGATAATTTTTTTGTTGTGTTTGTTACTTATTGTCAGAAGGTTCTTACGACAGATGAAATCCTGAAAATTCTGCGGGAACGGGAAAAAACAGGACTGCGCGCACGAAGTCGCGGGCAGAAGCTAGTCTATACTAATATTATAAAGAGGAAAGATTTGTACCTATTTTTGTGTGTTTGTATGTTTGTAATGAATAGGCTCAAAAAGTACTGGGCCGATTTAAAAAATTATTTCACCAATAGAATGCTACATTCTTCCAATTCGACATAGGCTACATTTCATTTTGAAAAAATTATGGACACTTGGTAAAATTTGAACAATGTAACCGAAGGTGTAGAAAAATGAGTCTTAAAATGTCTTGTAATGTTTTGTCGAATGCGCTGTCGAAACTATTAGCGATGGAACAAAATAATGTACAACAATATTGAAGAATATCATAATGTCTACAAAAAACTCCGCGGTAGCATATGTCCAACTATTGTAGTTATGTCACTACAACAATCCAAATTTCCAAAAATAAATAATTGTCTACGCCGTGCGAAGCCGGGACGGACTGCTAGTAGTTCATATATTTACAACACAACATAATATGTAAACAAATTACTTTTCCAGGAATAAACTTAAGTTTTCGAGTAATGAACGTAATTGAAATGGGAGCGTTCTCTCATTCTTTTGTGTAACTTCTACTTTGACTTGCATTTACCTTTTTTTTTTTTTTTGATGTCGAGGGGAAACCTTCAAAAGGCGCCTAGCTTTTTGGGGAGAAAGACTAGGGAGTGTGGGATTCTTACCTCACTAAAACCACCCCGGTGGCCACCCTCAGCACCTGTAAGGGGCACCGGGTCCTCTGAAGAGACCTGCTCCGGAGCCCCCACGGTGCAACGCCTGATACAGCACATCCCTAGGGAGACGAGCGTGTCCCTTGATCATCGCTTTGCACGGCAGCACGTGACCACTGTGCTACCGTCTTCCCTGAGGCCACTAGATAGGCACCTAGAGTCCCCACTCTGTGCGCCCGTGGCCCCTAAGGTCCGCCTGCATTTCATACAAGCGGGATTGCGGCGTGTTAGGCGTCATGGCGGTTGCGTCTTCGACGCCTTCTACGAGCAGGATCGGCTCTCTCGCGATTCCGCTCAGCAGCCTCCTTTTGGGACATTACAGTCTCACAAAAGGAGGCCACTGCCCTCCAGTTTTCTGTCTCTGCCAACATAGCCTTAATTACTGCTGGCAGAGACAAGCCTTGCCCGATCTTGGCAACCAGGACCTGCCGCTCAGAAGCCCACGCTGGGCACTCCTCGAGCGTGTGCTGTGCGGAATCCAGGTCACCTCGGCAGTGGTGGCAATTTGCCGTGCCCTCACGCCCAATCCTGTTCAGGTACTCACCGAAGCAACCATGCCCGGTTAGCACCTGAGTGAGCCTATGTGTGTGTGTCCAGGTAAATGACTTGCATTTACCTGGACACACACACATACGTAATAATATGTTGCATACATATGCAACATTCGCTTGAAATACATCACCCTCTAGTTTCGTCGTATTCTTGTAAAAGCGGGCTAAAGCTCCGTTTCTCTTTGTTTAAATATTCTGTATACAAGTTTTATACAGAAATGAGTACTTAAATATGTCTAGTTGAAAAGTAAGTACTATTTTAGCGTAGGGTAGCTACGTCTGCAATGCCTAGCTTTCTCTACAATGGGTGTAACCAAAAACTATGTTTGTGGTAGAAAGATAAATGAATAGATATAGAAGTTTACACATACACGCGCGTCACGCCTTTGTCCCCTCTGCACCTCTGCCTACCCCTTACTATTACAGAGGTGAACAGTAGTGCACATAACGGCACTTAATGCCATTGTACAGCGTAACACCCACTTTTTACTATTTATGTTATGAGTCCCATGTAATAGGGGGGTGAGCCTATTGCTATATACAATATTTTTAAAAACCCAGTAATACTTTGCCGGGAATAAAAATTTACCCGGGAATGGGACCCGCGACCCGTTGCCGGCAGTCGCATTTGCGATCACTCGGCCAACAAGGCAGTATAGAAGTTTATTACAATATGTTACCTAAATTATGTAGCCTTGGACTTTATATCAAAAGATTCTAAATTTAAAGAATTTTAGCATATAAGTAAGTGGCCACTGCTGACCAAGAGCCTCTTCTCACATGGTTTAAGCATTAACCAGTATGCTTGCCCAATGCGAGTTGGCGATTTCAAACTTATATTTTTTTTTATTTATAATAAACATGCGTTTACAAACATACAATATCACATACACATGACACCCAGACCCGGAACAACAATCTGTGGATCACACAAAGAGTTGTTCCGTGCGGGAATCGAACCCGCGACACGTTGTGCGGCAGCCAGTTGCCCAGGCACGGCACCAATTTTAAGCCTAGATTTCCTCACGATGTTTCTTTTACTCTTCATCAGTGGCGTCTAAATAATCTCAGAAAGTACATAAGTACATAAACCAAACTTCATTGATCGATCTATTTATTCACTAGCTACTTCCGCGCGGTTTCACACGCTCTGCTCAGCTCCTATTGGTCATAGCATGATGTTTTATAGCCTATAGCCATTCTCGATAAATGTGCTATCCAACACAAAAATAATTATTCAAATCAGACCTGTAGTTACGGAGATTACCCCGTTCAAACAAACAAACAAAAAACAAACTTTCGCTTTATATAAGTGAAAAAAGTGAATTTATTTCTGCAAATAAATAATTTCTTTCTACTTTTATATAATAGTGTAAGATTTAAAGCATAACTAAGTAACAAACAACAATTTATTCAAACATTCTCATTTATCTATACAGATGAATAAAATTGAACGGTCTGTTTGTAATATAAAAATAACCGCTTTTTACTACATATACTACATACATACGACACATACCAAAATAACATCTTTTACAATTTTTGTCTGTCTGTACGGGCTAATCCACTAAGCCATTCCAAGCTGGACGGATTTGCAAGATTGTAGCTGATCTACTAAGGAGTACCAAAAGCTACTTTTATTTTGAAAAATTGAAACCGAATAAAGTTATGTTCTAAAATTCATATTCTACGCGGACGTTGTCGCGAGCAACAACTAGTTATTACTATAAGTTTACACAGTAGTTTTAAGTTTGAAAGTTTTGAGGTTTTAAAGCATGTGAAGTATCCCACATTAACACTTTCACTCCTATACATAATACAACTTAATACTAAGTTGGTGTGAATTAAAGTATTAAGTTTTTATTACTTACTTTGTTACCGACACCGTCTCACTGTTAACGTGTGGATGTGGAGTCAGGAGTCTGTCTGATTGTAAGCACGTGTAGATCTTGTGTGTTTGTGTGTGTGTCTTTCTTATGAATGTGTTGCTGTGGGGTCTCGGCTCGAATTACACTCGAGTTCATCATCATGTTGGCATGTTAAGTAGGATGTACGAATCGATAGTAATGATGTATTGTATTTACGTGTACAGAGACATGCTATATTATGTAGTCATATAACTACAGGAATGACTAAAACCAAGGATATACTGGGGGACAATTGTCCCACGACGTGTATCGGCGACAAGTCAAGCGAAGCGTGATTTCGCCTGACATATTATAAGGCGACAACGTACGCCTTATGTCCACAACAACGTTTATGTTGCCAAACATGTCGACCAAAGTCCGGCAACGTCGCACTACTCCACCCAACGTCGCTGGCATGACATTTGTCCTTTAGCTTAAATCTATAAGTACGTATCCAACGTCCGGCTGAAGAAATTATCCTTATTCTGTTATCAAATGTATAATAAATGTTTTAATTTTCTAAACTAAATAGTTTTACAAAATCACTTACCTATATGATTTTGTAAAACATTTGAAGTACTATTTTACTAACTAAACCCTTATTTTATCATTTCAGCTGTGGGAGCGTGCGAAATTGGAGCCGGCTGTAGCCCCACCCTGCCGCCTATCCTGGTTGACCCTAGCCGCCTGGCCCGCCGCCGCCATCGTTGGTCTGACTGCGCAATGCGCCCTCACTGCTACCGGAATCTATCATGAACAAAGTAAGTACGGTACTTTGACGACTTGACATAATGAAAAGTAAAGTGGACGTGCACTGTAGCTGTTTTGACTTGACTCAAGAACTGTGAACCTCTATATCTGGGATTTGTTCTTTCGATTTATCATCATAGTTACCTCTATAACTGAGACAACGGGTAAATTTTATATGCATAAACCTCTGTAACTGAAATAACATTATTTCTTTACTCGTTCTTATACTACCCACAAATTCCACACGTAATTCCAAGTCAACCTCTATTAATGGAACCCTCTGTAAATGAGACAGATATTTATTTATACCTGTATATCTGAGACACTGGGTAAGTGGAATACCTCTATAAGTGAAACGACATTGCAGGTCCCTTGATGTCTCACTTAACCAGGTTTCACTGTATTAGTAAATACTTTATATAAATACTTCTTCAATATTTTTTTGATACCAGTCTACATAGGAAGCGTTAAGCAGTAATTTAAATTACAGAATTAAATCACTAAAATGGAAGACCAAATCTTAAAAAAATTGTTTATTATGTAATCTGACGTATATATAACTCCAGCTTTCTTATAAATAAATTCTAGATACACAATCTTCTACCGCCTTAACTTACATATTGGTATCAAATGTTATGCTCAAAAATTTTTAACGCTGCAATAATGCTAATGTTACAGGCATTAGCGCCCAGAAACGCCACATGAAGGCTCAACAGGCTCGCCCCGTGACCCGCGAACAACGTGCCGAGATGAAACAACGCAAGTACCGATACTTGTACCAAGTCCGCACCGCTCACGGCGATGTTATCTCACAGGTACTTGCTCCCTTCATTAGAACTGAATATTATTAGAATATTAAAAAAAATATTAATCAATATTATCGTTTTCCATGTATTTACTAACGAACCGACACGGACAGGAAGTAATCGTTAGTATACACGCAATTCTAAGTAATCTAGGTGTTGTCTACAGGCGCAATTTAGCTATCGTCTTCGCACTCACCAGATGGCGCCTCTTGCGAGTTAAATCTTGTAATTTTTCAAGGCTATCGCTAATGTCCACTCGTGCCTAGTGGTGGGTTCAAGTGCGATAGCATTGCGTGTTTTATCTTCATTTTTTACTATCTTTCGTATTAGAAACACGAATGCATTTTATGTACTTTGTTGTTGATTAGAATTTTGTATGTTTTTTTATTCTCTCTTAAATTAAAAGTAATAACTACGTCACTAGTGAAGTGTAATAACTAATGATAATGTTTATATTTCCAGTCGTACGTTCAGGCTTTGCAGAAGAAGGCTCAGTGTGGTAACTGGAGTGGCAGTGGTGGTGGGGAGTGCAGCACCCTGCAGAGTGACTCCACCCACCTGACAGTCCTCGCCGGCTCCGAGCACGCGCCCCCCACCGACTCTGATGACGACCTGAACCAGATCAGGGCTGCGCATTAAATATGGTGGGTGTTAAAAACTATGATATACTTAGAAAATCAATACTTAATTCAATACGGTCTCTATGCTGTAGCTATAGCTGGCGATTTGCAATTGCAAAAGAAAACTTATATTCCCAATGTATTTTTACACATTAATTAAGAATACAGCTGATTTATGGTATTCTTTTCAGATTGTAAGGAGAACAAGGCAGGTATAGCACATCGCAGTTGATTTATGAATATTCTATGTACCCAGTATTATTGTAAGGAGAATCCACTCATATTATTACTATTATTACACAGTAGTGTCGTATCATTACTAGTAATCTTATATTAATTGTATTTAATGTGAATTTATTGTTGTATTACGATTACTATTGATTGAATTTGTCGCGAATGTTTCGATGACGGAGTTCAAGGCCTATATTTATTTATTGCCAAATATAAGTTAGTTTTAAGTATAATTTAAATGAACATTTTTGATGAATTTATCATTGAAAACAATACCGTCTCTTTCGATCGGATTTTATACTAAAATAATGAATGCTGAACATTCCAAAGTTAGATGAATACATAAGTTAGTCCTAAGAGCACGTAGACATTATTTTGGCGACAACTGAGAGATTATTATATACTCCATGTATCTGTAAACACTGCCATCTGTACAATTCTGTCCTAATACTGATATTATGGTCTTGGACTCCAGCGATGTGGTTGTATTAATTTAATATATTTATTTAATGTTTTTGAACAAGAACTGATAACGACGGCTTCGTGAGTTGCTAGCAAATACCTAACTCGGTTGGCGCACGAATGCCAGTACAATGATTGGTAATCTCCCGTTGAATAGTTGTATGTTAAAACTATTTGCGGATCGTGTGCTTCTAAATAAGATGAGGTATTTAGGTCTGTAAAACGAAGTCTCACACATTTATATTGATTAATTGGTCTCATATCTATTTCGAATGATAAGAACGATGTCTAGATTTCACTGGTTTATTGAACATTCCATAATTAAGTAAATATTAATACCTGTGGTGGTTAAGATGCAGTAACCTTTGAACCTTTGAACAAACATCACAATACAAACACGAACATCACAAACGTAGTTGTAGGTGAAGTGGAGCCGTCGCCACGTCGTAACATCCCTGTGATAAACCAGTCGTAAAGTTTCATATTATATTATAGTTTCTTGCCAAATTCTTTATCTCCTCGGGAGATACAGAAAATTGCTTCAACTGTCCAATTCTCAAAATTATTTATATACATTTCTACGTGAGTATCTATCTAAAGCACAATGCGATTTGGATGTGATGAACGGGTAAACTCTTGTGAAGAGTCTAGACTAAGTTAGATTACTGAATATAACTACTAAAAGTGTATAAGTAGAGATCGAATTTCTTATAAAAATATCTTGTACTATTAGTTTTTGCTCATTGTTTATGGCTTGAGACGCCAATGCAAGGCATACATTTTTGTAACGTAATAATACGGAACATAAAGTGATTTTATTTAGACCTACATACTCGATCGTTTGGGCGCAAGGCAGTAAATTGTAACAAATGTAATGTGTGATAGAAATAATACAATATCGTTACGGGATCAACACTTTGCTCAAAGCAAAGCACAAATGAATAGATCTGCTCGTCCGCTCAAATGGTCTGTTGTCGAAATCGTACATTCTACGCACAGTGTGATAATTTAATATTTTGGCCAAAGTTTATTTTAGTTGTTACATGGCTTAAAGCGTAAGTTTATTTTTATCTTGTATGTTATTTTGTTATTATTATTATTATGTATATGATTATGAGCATATTGTATGTTAAAACAGGTATTTTAAAGTAATTGTCGAGATTTAAACTTGTAATGTATCGATTATTGTCATTGTACTGATGCATGGGGAATGTGTAAGTTTTGTAATTTGTGTGGTCAGGTTGAATGACCTGGCGCGTGTGTAGTTGTGACACTTTGAGGTTTGGGAACTTTGAACATGATTTATGCTGCCTGAAGCAATTTGTGACTATAGCAGTGAGCACTCACGGGTGACTAGGAATGGAAGTTATGTTTTGTTATATTTTGTTTAGTTTTTGTAAGCTTTCTTAGCGAATCAGGCAGCTATTGGTGTTTTGTGTCATGTAATGTCGTGTCGTAGATGTTAGACTAGTATTCCTTGAAGATACATGTTCCCGACCTTGAGGTAGAGTCTGTTTGAAAAGGATAGATGTATAAACCGTAGGCGTTAACGTAGGACTTATATTTAAGCTTAGGACATTTGTGGCGCGTTTGAGAGATGACTATTACTCTGTCCCGTTCTGTCTCTAAAACATAGTCCACTTGAACGCTCAATTTCTAGTCTTTATAACATATTGTATTCCAAAATTCGAAATTCCTTTATTCGTCAACCATTGCATGTTCGCTTCGAGATTTTATTTCGTCTTATTATGTTCGTTTAGTTTGTAACTTTGATTTTGTTTGCATAATTTATCGACTATTTAGTATTAATATCAGAAGACTCCTAATTTATTCCACTATATTATATCGATGCAAATCATTTATTTCTGTTATGTTTTTTTTTCTAATATAATTTTGTAATCGACATTCTATATTTTATGTTGTTGTTTTTTTATTTGATACCTGACCCCAACTCTCTTCATGCCACAGTTTCCATAATCCACACCTATCTATTCGCTAGAAACAATTCCCTTCTTCATTTTAATCTTTTGACCCCACATTACTCAATAATGTCCGTTGACGATAACATGTCACCATAAGATAAATATTACAATAAACTTTAAATAATCAATAAATGTTAAAATAGAATTTTGATGATAATTAAACATTCAGCTTTTGTGTAGTAGCCGTAGAAGCCGTGTTGTATCTCAATGTTTCATTGTATTGGTCAAAAGGTTAAATAATAAATAGTAAATAGACACATTTTAAAATAGTTGTGCTGATAAAATTTTGTCAGATGGCATACCTGCCTTCAGTGTGTTCGCATTCTGCAGTTTAAAATAATCCAGTGTTAATGTAGTGTCTGTGGTAAACAGTATTTAAAAATAAGTAATTTCTAAACTTCCGCTATCTAGTTTCCAACTCATGAACAGAGGCCTCTCAAATCATCTCATCAATATTTATAAGAGACCGACGAGTCCACACGACTGCGAACGAACACTGCCGAATATCTTACTGAATAAATAAAACGTAGTTTACAATCGGGTGTCGACCTAGACTGAGTTAGACATGCACGTAGTTATTGTAACCGCCCCGTTTTAATTCATTTACTTACTACAATAATTCGAAATGTTTACTACATAAGATAAATAATAACAAATAGTTTGACGATCTAGCTCCTAGAAAGAAACAAATTCAAAAGTCCGTTCTTATACAGCCCGATTTGGCGATGATTTTGAGATATTAATTAACTAGAATGCTAGGTTTAATTGTGTAAGTTACCTAGTCAGGTTTGGTGTCCATATTATGATCTAAACTATCACTAGGTATCGGTTAAGATACAATGCGTAGGGTCGGTACGATAGGGTCCACAACACGGCGTAGTTTCACTGGCCACCAAACTTGAAACGTGAAATCAGTGATCACCTGCGTACCTCGGACCTCCCCGTATTCCATAAAATCTCTGTTTTAAGATTGTTTTGAGGAGATGGATTCCTAAGAGTAACTTTATATGATTATCTTTATACCAATGTATCTTAAATTATTCTTCACTTAGATGATTTAGTGAGTATTTTTAAGATGAACCTATATTTTATTGTGTAGTCTCTTTGTCTTATATCGTATATTGTATTTGGGTCTTAATATAAAACGCTGGCACTTGTAACGGCTGCCAGATGGACATGAGAATTAACATATACCTACCACCGAGAAAGCGACCTATTTTTCTCGCCGTAGTTTCTTTTGGTGTTAGTTTCGCTTCGAGGTGTCCGAGAGGACCTATCGCTCCCACTGAGCTCATCGCAGGACTTAAACATAGAATTTACACGTAATGATATTTTTGTAAATAACATTGAAACAAAATTATATTTTGGAGAATAATATGATCGGGCGCAAAATTTTGAATTAGGTCCTTTTGAAATGAATTTTTGATTTAACGATTTAAATTAGATGATAATATTACGCGGAAAATATTGAAAATTGAATTAAATTAGCGAGGTATTCGAGTTACGGGTGACATGTGCGTGCAGTGCTTGTCGGCGTCGAGCCGTACTTACTTATTCTGTGTCAAATAATATCTGAATACATTCTGCATTTGTTGTCTTTGTAGAGGTCTGACGATCGTTGCTGGCAAGTACTGACAGCTTATCTACTAACAGTAAATTGATGGAGAGACCCTGTGTGGGTTCGCACGAGTATTTTTCTATCCCACAACCGCAATAGAAACTCCTTAGACCTCACATTATTTCGCTCAATGTTATTGTAACGGAAAACTTTTTGGACATTTTTGCAAATTATAAGTGGTATGAAATTATTCACTTTTTGTGTAGCCAACCAGTTCGATCCAATAGGCGTCTGGTTTCATTTCTTATTGATGTTTAAGTAGATACTTAGATAGGTGTCGTAGTATTCAAATGTTTGTATAAAATACGGTCCGGCTCAAGCCGTTTTATTGATAAGCTGAAGTAGTTATTAACAAAATTTTTCTCCAACGGAATTGCGGTTATCATTTTGTTTCTCTTCGTAGAATTTTTGGTTGGTCTATCAGCTGGTTTTTTATGCTAAGATATAGCTTAACATCGACTGGATAGATTTCTTGCAGGTATAGGTTATTGCGAACATCTAAGAACCTACCTTTTCTGGTACCTGCCCATGGATATTTCCGACTTTGGTCTGTTTGCATCATGTACCACCACGATTCATGGTAGATGTCCCACCCACACACACGAAGCTTTAATCTTCGCATCAAGCTTCCTTGTGCGTACTACTAAGGAGTGGAAATCTTTGCCAGAGTCTGTATTTCCTGAAGCGTATAAGTAACCTGGGTGTCTTCAAGGCTCGAGTGAATAGGTTGCTTATGGGTCGACGTTTTCCATTGTAGGCCATTATATGGCCTGGCTTATTACCAGGCGAGATAGTGGTCAAACGTCAGTCCCATCTAATATAAAAAAAACTAAATTGGTTAAATGATACCGATGCTCTGATCCTGGGCCTATAAACGCTAGAGTTATTTGAAAGTAATTTCTTATGAAAGACGAACAACTATGAAAACAGATGCGATGTTAAGTTAGATCTTACTCTAGCAGGATTCGAAAGATACAGGTAATAAAACTGGAGGAGTACAAACCTCGAGAGAAAATTATTTGAACTCAAAAGCTAAAATCGACACCAGTCGTGGGTAGTGGGCTACTAGAACACTTACCTTAAGTCTCCAGGTAAAGATAGTCTATATAGACTATCTTTATATACATACATATAGTATATACCTAGGTACCTACTTGTCTACCGAATCCGTATCTATATACCTAACCGTATTTATATATAATCTATTTATTTATAATTTTAACTTCAAGGCAAGAGTGTTTGTGGAGCAATGAAATGGAAACAAAATTACGTAGGAATGTAAATTATGTCGTTTGCACATTTTATATGACTGTATGAGAAGGTGATGAATTGTGGTGCGTTTTCTAATAGAATAACTTTATCATTTTAAGAAATATCCCAACGGACAATAACAGGCGAGAATTTTTTGGAACAGCCAAGTCGAAACTACCGAGTTTCAATTGAAAATAAGCCTTAATTTAGTGTGTTGTGATTCATATTTCAAGGAACAATAAAGTTATTCTGTTATATTGAGTATGAATAGAATGTCTATTTGATCTTAGAGAAGTTGAACGATTTTAAGAGTAGGCGTAACAGCTGTAAGTAATGGATATTTTTGGACTAGCGTCCCTTCTTGCCAAAACTGTAACTAATGTAAGAATTTTATTTTAATAAATAATTTGTTTTCTTCTCACTAATCGAATGGGTTTTATTACCTAACCTGTCTTAGCTTAAAATGTTCTATTTAAGTACCTAATTTTATCACATAACATAACCCATAATATCACGCCTTTTATCCCCGAAGGGGTAGGCTGAGGTGCACATTGCTGCACTTAATGCCACTGTAGGTACAATGTAACACTCACTTTTCCCTATTTATGTTATGAGTCCCATGTAATAGGGGGTGTGCCTATTGATGGCATAGTATAGGCACTCCCCCTATTATCGTATATGGATACCGGGCACATTATCAGACTACGGAGTCTTTAAAAAAATCTCAGTAGTACTACTACTGAGATTTTTTTAAAATAAATCTCAGTAGTAGCACGGGCTACTACTGAGATTTTTTTAAAACCCAGTAATATTTTGGCTGATCCGGAACTCGAATCCGAGACCCCTTTCCCGGCGCACTAACGACCACTGGGCCACCGAGGCATCTTATCAGAATGTTGCTAAATGATCCTTATAAATCTCCTTAGATTTAGAGATAAACCTCTTGAGCAAAAACGTTCCCTTGCTTTAAAATCGTCGATAATTGTATAGACTATCCAGAATTCGTACCTACCTTAGTAGGGGACGTATGACGATAATGATGATGATCTTAAAATAAAACCAATAAATTATATTCTTAATCAATTTATTTATATAACAACACTTTGGTTTAATTTTATAATATGTCGTATAATTTACATGTTCAGTTGAAAATGTTACTTTAACTTACAAACTAGATACAGTACGTAATACTTATAATACATTTAACTCAAACTCTTTACATTTATAATACTTATTTACCTACTTAAATGAATTTTCTATGGTATCTTGTATCGGTATGGATAAATAAAAACGATAATTAATATTCCGTGTACCTAACATTCATAAATTCAGTGCCCTTTATTTCCACGTAATTGTTACTAATCTTTTTTATGGTCAAACAACGCTTTATACAACGCCCTCTATAGAATTAAGTAGCGCAAAAATTAAGCGCGGCAAACCACGTGCATCAGAGCACTATTTTGCGCATGGTCTTACCAAAAAGATGCCCAGAGAAATCAAGTAAATATTGGAATTTACCCTTTCACGGTGTACTTCTTCCACAGTACACACATCGATGAAAGAACCCAAACATGATTAATTTTATGTAATATCACTAGAATCAACTCTTTATCAATATCAAAACTTTATACAAGACACTTATCCAATCAAAATAAAATAAACAATTGTTTTGCGCGAGTTTTTCTTACAAAATCAGCTACAATTATAATTTCTTTGATACATAGTTCCATTTACAATTTTGTTAAATGAGTAGTCTTTAATTATTAATTTTTTCGTATTATTTCCATTCATTTATTTATGCAACGTCACTACTAGTATAAAAATTGCACAGATATCATTCTCTCAATGAGAGACCTACTTATACTTCAAGACATTAGGTATATTTTTTATTATTGACAGGTAGGTAAACACATTTTTGGGTAGGTAGGTACCCAAATAATATCTCCACAATTTTTATGGATAACTTTTGAGATAATTATCAATTGAAGTCATTATACTAATACAATAATTCAATTAAATACAATAATTGCACAACGCGAATCAACATCAAAAACAACCAGAAAGTTCACTTGTTTGCAATCAAAATCCAGTATCCACAGATTATAAAAGGGTATTATTTGACGTAATACCTACTAAAATGACGGGAAAATAGTCAAATAAAATACTTTTTTAATAAATGTCACAAACACGAGAAATCTTTTTGCGGTCTGTTTATTTTTTACCCATTTTTGTATTATGTGATCCTCTTGGTCACTTTCGGTGTATACTTATACGCAAGTGGTAATTTCTTCCACATAGGATGAAGGGAAAATTCCATAGATGCCGTTCAGGTCTCCGCTCCACCACCCATCGGCTTGTTTCTCGTGTATATTTATTATGTCTCCTGCAAATGATTATAAATTCAGAGTTTCAACTAAAGCCAAGTGTTAGAGGCATGCAATTTGTGAGAATGGTGAGAGAAAAAATGGGTAACTCGCTTTTAGTATACCTACCTAAAAATTATACACAGTTACCTACTCGTTATTTTCCATTAAAACAAACGTATGGGCATTGAGTTCATATGTGTATCTCAATGCTTGTGGGTAACATGATGGTCTACATAGAATTCTTGACAATCGATAATAAAAAAATTCGCTTAGCAATTTATCGCATAATGAAATTAGCCAGATTATTCTTCCCACGTGTACCTAGTTTGAGCTTTAGACACTATTTATCTACAATCTACTCTATTGACTCAACGTCTAAAATCAATCAATAAGTAGGTAGGAATATGTTACTTTTCGCTCTGGTCATAAAAACTTATATATCTTATACAAGGTAGCTATGGGAAAGGTTTTCACGAAAAGAGAGAGTAAGTATCGGTAATTATACATATTAAAATGCCAAGAAAAATCAGCACATCCATAAAGTTTTATGGTTCATTAAACAGAAACACTCGAGACACAGACAGCCCAAGTATCGTTGGTAAGTTGTGCTTTCCAAATGTCAATAATACGATTTACGAGTATGCAAACCAGAAAAGAACGTCCAGGAAATTATTGCCGCAGTCCTGCCTTTAAGATCAAGAATATCTATTTATGAGCCATAAAATATACATTAAAAACAACATTTAATTAACTGTGACTTTCTTCATATTTTATGATATATCTATAAACACGTTGTAAAGCTATGAAATCTTGCACCAAGGTCGATAAAATTTGATCGAAGTTGCCTCCACGAGGGAGTGCGACAAAAGCCTAGGTAGAAAGGCAGCCATATGAGCTCATTTTAGAAAAGACGCTAGCTAGATATCTTAGGGATGTGACTACTATAGGGCTTTAGAGGTAGTCTATTTAGAGGACCTGGAGCTTCTTTACAGATGCTGAGTTTTATGTCTTACGTTCTCTCCCCAAAAACCTTTGAAAATTTTCCCTGTCTTAAAAAGTATCTTAAATATACTGCGGACTGCAAATTATATTACAATACATAGGTAAAATAGCAATGAATTAAATGTTCCATTTACCTGGAGTCAAATTAAGTTCGTCATTAAGTCTCGCCTCGTAAGTGTACAGCGCTCGGCATTTGCCCAATGACGGCGTCTGTGGCACCGTGTCCCCGTTCTCATTCTTCATAATATCAGTCAAATCCGTCGAGCTATCACTTTGCGATGAAAACTCATCTGAAAACATTGATGATAAGGTTAATACAATAAATAAAAAATTGTTACAGTAGGTACCTACCTACTACGAAATATGTGCTCAAAACATCTGAAAATAAACATAGCCTACAGATGAAATCTTCGATCAACAATAACAACTAGATATCGGGTTGGCGCAAGAAAATCGTCTCGACAAATAAGAGCTCACTTGAGAAGTGAGCTCTTATTTTGTTTAGTATGCTCCAAACACGGCCAACGTACTGACGTCTCACGATGCCGCAGTGCGTAATTGCAATTTGCAAAAATAATAACCGAAAAAGCAGTATTACGGCCGGAGTGTCTTACTTACGATAAGTCCATAAAGTATACGTTATATTTTAAGCTTTTAAACTAGTAAATAATATCAAATTAGACAAAATTACCAATTATAAAACAACACCACCAATGTTTGTGCGTATGTTGGCCAAGCATCGCCAACACGCGCACAAACATTTGTTTAAACAGAACAGTGGATGCATGGAGTCGATTTGTATTGTAAAATAAAATTGTATTGTAACCTGATTGGAATACAGTACCTAACCTATGGAGTTTCTTGCTCGTTCTGTTCCATAGGAATCTACACCTAGGAATGAGCAAATAGTTCACTTTTAAATTTATATTATTGACGTTCAAAAGTGCCTTCCTGGTCTAACTGAAATAAATGATTTTGACTTAGACTTAAACTTTTAATAATAAAGTAAATAAACATATCATACACAAAAACGTACCGCTAATAAAAATAAGTGATGTATACTAAGATCCCGAAATATTAATTTTCATAATTTATAAAATTATTTTAGTGTTCAACGCTACTCCATACATACCTCCTGTAGCGAAATTCGAAATTCGAAAAACAAAAACGAAACAAAACAAAACGATATAGCATTGCAAGGCAATAACGGAAAAAATATCTTTATTTGTTCTAGGTTAAGGTTGTATTCAAACTAGATATTGAATAACTTATGTCTTTTAATTTCTACATGACAAGAGTAAGAAAATGTTTTCTCGTCTTATATGACAAATGGTCGTAAGTATTAGATAATATTTTGGCGATTTATGACTTTATTATTAGGTGCCATGGTTGTTATTAGGTTGACCATAAAACCATTTTAAAACATTTTTCTCTGTTTGTTATTTTTTTACTATTATTATTCACACGGACAGAACTGGAGCTTGATTTTGTACGTAACCCTTTATCTAGTTGCTATTGTTGATCGAAGGATGAAATGAAAAAAAAAACACTTTCTGTTTTGACGTGTAGACGCACCGCACGACTACATACCTACACGGGTACCATATACCTTACCGATACCACCGAATACCTTAACCGAACCAAATATAATTACCTACGGTTTCGATTCTCCATTATCAAGAACAGCAACAACAACGACTTACATTACAACAGCTCAGTCTAATCATCGTTGCAACCGTCAGTCGAGTTGATACCAGAACAGATCGTCGAGCCGTTATCGGCTCCACCTGCTGCATGGAGACGATATGGGATGCGATATGCATGTGCTGCGTGGACTGATAACCCCCACGCAGCACAGAATCATCTGGATTTTGATACAACCATCGCAAGTTCGGGAAGGAGGCACAGCGTTGCACACGTCTCACACGCTGGGCGTATGCCGCCCCCTGCGAGAGTTATCAGCCGAAGTCGTCACAAGAAAACTGTATGAAGCGTTGATATCACGCATTGGTTGTCCTATTAAAATCGCAACTGATCAAGGACGACAGTTCGAGAGCAGCTTATTTAAAAATCTCGCTCAGCTACTAGGAGTGGAAGGAACCCGTACTACTGCCCGCAGAGTAACGGGATCGTAGAACGTCTGCATCGTACATTGAAAGTCGCGCTCATGACTCAACTCGATTGATCGAATTACATATAATCGTGCTACAGGGACTAGAGACTACGAGCCGCTACGCGCACTGACAGCACTGACACTAACACTAGTGCGGCAGAGCTCACCTATAAACAAGCACTACGGCTACCCGGCGATTTCATATCGCCATTGCCTCCCTATATGAAGATTTTTTTAAGGTGGCAAAATCATCGAGTGGCTTTTCCCGCATGGTTGAGGCGGGAGTGTCAGACTCTTACTGACTAAAAACCACCCCGTTCCTACTCCTGCCCTTCGCGTTGGAGCCCCGGTAACCCGTTAAGTTCTCCGCGGCTCCATATCGGCGTCAGACCTATTGGGCACCATCCGTGGTGGGCTGATGGGTCTTTGAGGCGCGCGCTAGCGTATTTTGCCAAATGAATTCATTCTTTTCTACACCTCTCCTCGGTGACACGAAACACTATATGAACTGCAGTCCATTAGAAAATTAATTATGCATATCATCGGAAATGGACGTACTATTTACGATTAGTCATCTATTACAGTAAAGAACGAAAGAAGCCACAGATAAGTCAACCACATACCAAAGTCACTATCTTGTTGGTTGGACAGTCCATCACCAGCACCACGCTCGCTCCAATCTAGTGGACTTTCAGGTGGGTTTGGTGTTTCCACGGTCTGTTTCTGGAGCGGGGGCGTGGGGATGTCAACAACTGGTGTAACTGGTGCACTCTTGTTGTCCGTGTTCCTCCTAAATGAGAGGTGTTCTATTCTCAATTTACTAGAGGCTCTGCTCATGATGGAGTCTCTGCGCTCCCTCTCCTCTCCACCATTTACACTCTTCGTTAACGCCGTGTAATTTGGTGTCAGGTTTTTGTTCACCTCGTTTTGATAGTCGGCTTGAAGCCACGGTGGTACCTGTAAACAAAGGATTGACAATTCTAAGTATTTATTTCTGGTACTCATAATCATTTACGGTTAAGCGAACAAAACTTGACTTTTTGTCAACGAAGATCGGTTGAACCGTTTCAAGGAAAAGATAATTCTGAAGTACCTAATACATAAGTACATCATTTAAATTTGATCTAGCTTGAATAATCCTACGTCATCTATTGAATCTCCTTGACTTTGCCACAGGGCACAGGTAAATAAAAGAGTACGTTATCGAATAACATACCTTCAGTATACTTTGCTGCAGTCCTTGTTTGTCCCTTATGATCTGTATGTGCGCTGCCAGTGGATGCTGTACCGGCGGTCTATTATCCAGCTCGTTAAGACTAGCCGTTATTTTATACCTCACTGCCTCCAAATATGTCAGCATACTTCTCATCTGAAACAACATGAGAATTATTGTAACTAGCTTAGGTATCAGATCATGTATCTTTGCAGAGTTCATCGACAATAACCAAAATGGTGAGTTATGCAAGGAGTCAGTACAATCTGAAGCAGGGTTCTGTCTGTTTATTTTGGAGTGGTGCTCATTTCAGTGTAGAATTGAGAAATTATGTACAGAGGCCTTAGTACGAGTTTGTTTTACGTTTAAAGTAATCGTAACGGGTACGCGTTCGGCGCTCTGATTGTCCGGCGCCAATGAAGCAACCAAATTCGTACTAAGGCCTCTGATGCCTATTACTCTGTTCTTGATTTGCGAGTTGTTTTTTTCCTTGGATCAAAGGTTCAGTTGAGTCAATAAGTTGTTGTTCAGTTGAATTAAGGTCTAAGTTTACAACCAAGAAGCCTAATTTGTAGATACCAATTGAACAATAGTGATTAACTTTAGTTGTTAGTTGTTGATTTTTTTTTCATAATAGGTTACATGCACATGCAATAAAGGTGAACACCACATGCATGAATAGGTTAGGCTAATGACATCCTAATAATTGTCGTATATTATCTAATGTAAGTATATTGTTTTACCCTTCGAAAATTCTTGCAGACATCGTCATGATACTTACATGGTACAGTTTGTCAGCCACATTTTGTTGTGAGTCATCATTTCCAAAAGTGGGTGTCTGTTTGATGGCCATCGACAGTTTCTCAAGTCCCTGCTTGGATTTCCTCTCCCTGTCAATGTCTTGTTTTACTAACTGTAGTATCTTCAGCAGCGCCTGAAACAGAAATATAATCTTAAGTGTTTGAACTTTGTGAACTTTATTATTTTCGGGACGGACCCTATTACATGAGACTCCTAAGTTGACTGGTGAAAAATGAAAGTGATAATCGACACTTCTGCATATTCTTTCGGTGAAGTAAAATGCGTGAAATCCTGCTGTCTTTGTTAGCAGTCAATGTTTCTTATTTAAGTGTATTTAATTATACCTAGGTAGTTAGGTAAGTTCATTGTTCACCCAATTTTCGTGAAACTTTGGCAATACCTTATTCTTTTAATGTCATATGAAGTTATGCATAGAACATTATGCAAATTCTGTCATCGCAGACAATCCTATTGCATAATCAAATGATAAATGTGACTGGTTCAGCAGTTGGTTGGCCATCTGCTGCTCAATCTACCATTAATGCAAAATCTTCACGGTATGTGAGAGTTTAAGAAAAGAATGTCAAGATTATATTTAGGTATCATATTATATTATTATATTTAGGTAATATAAGTATGCAGCACTTTTCAGTTTCTGTATAGCTCTTTGGGACAATATGCTTAAAAAAAATAGGAGACAATGACATATAACGAGCCCGTTACAAATGAACTAAGCATTTATTAACTGCAAGCTTACCTGCTTACGTCGTTCCTTGTTCATAGCAAGCGTGGTATGTTCGCAGTAGAAGTCTGGCAGCAGTTGTTCACTGGCTCCAGTCTGTGCTGAACGGACTCCACGAACTACTCTCATGTCAGTGTTGGCGTTCGCATTCTTTATCGGATTCACCAAAATGTTTGTGGCCTGATGACAAACAAAGAGATAGGTGAAGATTGTTTCAAAATATTATCGATTTCATTGTGACGTGTGGTTGTAGGTTTCCTTAGAGTAATACAAGCTAAAATGTCAATGTTAGCTTAAGGCGCCTTCATCTACAGGTTCAGGTGACTTAACGTGGCTTTTAGAGGGAATATATAATAAAGCTAGATCAAAATTATTATTCACTTTTAGTGCATAAATCGATGACCAAAACATTCCGACCAATAATTTATGATTGCCGGATTAAACACGTGTTGTCGTAAGTGCACTCATCAAACAAATAAATCATTAATGTAATGCTGTTTCTACAAGGATAATAAAAAACAGAATGTAAAGGTGATAAAAAACTACGTACTGTTTACTTGATTATATCATGAACAGGTATAAAAACCTGTTAATTACCTCCGCTAATTGTGCAGGCACGGCGGATGTCAGCCTGAGGTAGCAATCAGCAGCTGTCTTGAGCTGGGCTAGTCTCTCTTCCTCAAGAGACTCCAGCATGCCAGCTCCCTTCACTACACTTGACTCCCATTCCAACCTGGAACATGAGGATACAGTTCATGTAATTTAGAAAGTCAACGATGCTCTGGTAGGTGTTATTGTTCAATATGTTAAAGAAATGCTTTACCTAGCCCGTTCGGCGTGCACGCACACATTATAATATTCAACTTCAGTTTTTTTCACAGCATCTTCCGTCTTCCTTTTCTTGACCTGAAGCTTAGCTGCGTCCTTCTCGCTCGTCGCATTTGGCAGCCGCTCTGCCCGTGCCGCGCTCAGGATAGAGTGCGCATGTGGTATGTGTCCCACGCTCGAACTACGCGACAGACGGCTGTAAACAAACACGGGAGCTAGTGACTCATTCTAAATGCTCCCTCACGCAACATTCGCAATACAAACAGTCGCCAAGCAATTCGCAACTGCAAAAAACGAAGGATCCTTCTAATAATGACTTGAGCGAAGTAATGTCCCGACAGACTACTAGTTCAAACAAAAACAGGACATTAACAACGTCAAGTGTATCGCAAGAAGCAGACCTAATCTCCAAAGAGGCGTCCTGTAACTTTTCGTTCTCCCGCGCCGCCGTGTGGGAATGTTTCTTAGACTTTGCCTCCGCTGTTCTCCATTCTCCGAGAGATCGCGTAGTCTTGTCAACGTTACCTTCGATCTGTAATTATAAGTAGATTAACAATGGATTTTCTTTTATCTTTTGTCGTTCGTTTGTAATTATCATTTCGATTGTATTGAGCAACTCACCTTCTTCCTAAGTTTCAATTGATTGTCGATTACATGTTTCATTGGTTTCACTAGCTCGTCGGATAAAGCACTTGAGTAACTTCTGAAATAGAGCAAGTGATAGCGTTACTAACGTTCAAAGTATTTGTGTAACAGCCAGCTGTTTAAGTATCCTGAGTCGTTGCCATTTACCTGTGAATTTCCGACCGTTTCTCCATCTCGAGTGCGACATGTTTCCATGCTTCGGCGCACGAGCCGACGCTCTCCTTGCAAGCCTTCGTCAGCTTCGTCCCAAGTTTAGCCAAGCATTTTGCGTAGTATATTTCTGCTTCAATTCTACAAATAATCGATAATGTACATGAGTACGGATAGTCAACGGTGTTTCACAATCTGTGACGGAAGCGAACGTTCGTAGGAAATAATCGCGGTGTCGTAATGATTTGTTTTTATGTCTGCCCGTCTTTGTGGTTGTGTAAAAGCAGTGATAATGCATTCTCGGCCAATGGGAGGATTTCAATTTTTAGCGCGCGTTATTTGTGTCTCACGTCTTGGCCCACTTAGCAGAACCTCGCGACGAGCTATTTTTGTTTTTGTGGCCATTGCCGTGCCCTTACTTTCGTATGCAACAATATTGTATGACGTGCTCGATATCTGTATATCGCGGGGAAAGCTACACGCGTGCGTGTGAACAATATAATATCAATTATACACCATGACGAGACTTTCGTATTGTCCCTGCGCCTGTGCCGACTGTTGTCTGACCGCACGTGGAACGCAGGATCGCTCGAGCGATTTGCTCGTAAACAATAACGCATTGTTTTATAGTATTGTCTGGAAAGTAAATGTTGCGAAGAACTGTCGATAAGATTGTTAATCTGGTGCGTGCACGACTTGCATTGAGGCTGCGCGCGCCGAGCGCGGCCTGACCGAATGATGCGTAACAATTTTACCAGTTATTAGAAAAAGTGATAGTGCCGTTATAATGGACATTGTTATGCGGTGTGTACGTAAACTTACATTCACTGTTATCTTAAGGTTTATTATTTGTTTATTTAGAGATTGAAGGTTAAAAACAAATATTGCGTAGCCTTATCACATTGTAAGAACGTACGTAGATTATCCCAAACGAAATATCGTTTGAAGTCCAAATGCAATATGTTACAACACCGAAGACTGACTTACATAACGCAAAAATGAAGCTGCTTTATTAAATAAAATTTATACTATTAAATAAATTGTTAAACTGTTCATTAGTGAATATAAAATCTTACCTTTCTTGCAATATGGATGATAGTTCTTTGCTGAAGTCGCTTCCCTGCTTTACGTAGCGACGGAGCTCATCGAAACCATTTTGAGCCTGCAAAGAAATGTAGAATAATATTTAATTTAACGTAGGTATAAATATTATTTTAAAATTCTAGGTACGTTAGTTAATCACCATTGTCGGTCCAAATTTGCCGAACAATGTATAGTTTTACCACAAAGCTTTTGATAATTCATCGATTTCCTGTTTGATCGATAAAATTAATGAACACAGTAAGTCCAGATTAGGGTGTACCTATAATACTTGCAATTGTTATGGATATTCGCCTCCGACGTATGGGATTTTACGTTTTCGAAAACCCCAGGTTCGACTTCGACCATGAAGAACTTATAAAAGAAGTAGGTATCGGATATACGCAATTTAACTTGACATAAAGTATTTTAATCTTACAACAAAGAGTATAACAGTATACAGTATACAGTATAGGGGAATCTTACACCGAGACCTAGGTCGTAAAAGAGACTGTTAAACAAATCAGCTAAGTTAATATATTTGGTATGCGGGATGCAGGTTAAATATTGATTCAGAAACAGATACAGTCACTATTATATGCTATTGGTTATAAAAATACAGCTTTTCATTGTTAAATCATTTATTTCAATAAATCCTTAATTAGGCATTTTTGAAACGTCAAATATTTAATTGTCCGTCTTTGAATTGTAATTGTAAATTGTGTTCAAACTGAATACATATAAGTACCTAATTATTGTACTGTTTCTGTACTGAATTAATCTTTATTTTCGTCTCTGCATAACAATTAATATGGCTTACATCTAACGTAACGTCCTAACTTACACGGTCTCGTAATATAAAACAATTAATCATATCTTATGGGTATTTTCCTTAACGATAAAACCTACTTGTGTACAACTCTGACAGTACAATATTCTTTTGTACTTTGTATAATATTTCCCATAGTTATGGCGATGTATCAGATAATGTAGAGAATGTATGTACCTACACGATGCTTGTGACAAGACATAGAAAGTATAAGTTTGTATGTCTTTTGTATATTAACACAATTGTATCAACAACTACTTAATATGTTTATTACCTAGACACCTACTGTTTAAATATAAATTTGCATTTATTAATATGTTAAACTGTCTGTTCTTCAGACGTTCCATGCAAATAGGTACATAAGTATTAAGTTATTCAATTTCTAAATTTTATTCTCACTGCAGCGTGGAATCGGGTTTACAATGAGGAAGGAATAAGCTGTTTAAATGCGTTTAATGATGATACATTATCATTTTTGTTGCATTTTGCTGGGTTCTAATTGACATGGCGCACTAATAAACTATTAATCCATGATAAGGGGTCATCCATAAATTACGTCGTACGAACTTCATGATGATTTGCCCCTCCCCCCGTTCTTGTTACAATTGGTCACATTTGTGAGACTACCCTACTCCCTAGTGTGACGTTATTTTACAAAATATTGTAGAAATTACTGGATGGAAAAAACAAAAAAATATTACATCATCATAATAAGAATATTATATTATATTTACACAGATATATGTCGTTGTAGGTGCGTAAGTCTGTTATTGAGATTTTCGTAAATTAAAAGTTAAGTTCGTGTTTTCACACAGATTAGGTACCTATAATAGTTTCTGAAATGTAACACCACCAAATTTAGGATCTCTCCCGCCCCCTTGTCACCAGTTCCGCACTTCGTCGACTCCCTCCTTTCCTTTAAAGTGTGACGTAATTTAAGGATGGCCTCTAATAGATGTAGAGAGAAGTAAACCGAAGTTATTTTATTATAAACTAGCGACCCGCCCCGGCTTCGCACGGGTGCAATATGCGTGTGTTATACATATAAACCTTCCTTAAGAATCACTCTATCTATTAAAAAAACCGCATCTAAATCCGTTACGTAGTTTTAAAGATCTAAGCATACATAGGGACAGACAGACGGTGGTAGAAATAGGTGTAGTGATGACAAGGTAAGATAACATCAACTACTTTAACAGTTTCAGATGTTAGGCACACTAAGCCAGGACGCCGTAGTAGCGACACTCCTCAATTCACACAGTGACAAGAAAGTCAGATCTCGACCAGATAGTGAGATGATGAATGATGATGATGTAGTACATTGAGGGCGAGATCTTCGGTTAGCTAGCCAAGTAAAAAATGATACACAGGCGACAACACACATTGTATAACTAGGTAGACCTCACGACAACTTGTAATGACAGTGATACAAGTGTTTTTGTTTAAAGCCAATAAACAAAGTACACAGTACTTTTTGCTAGTGAATTTGAAGCTTTAGTAAGTAAGTTTTAAAGTAGATGTTAGAATGTGTCGCGTAAAAAGATGTCGTGAGTGCAGGCGATAATGATAGCGGGCTGTCATTAGTATAGTACAATTTAAATTAATACTTCGCGGTATGATAATAAGTTCCTGGTGGGACTGCTATCCTGGTATCTTCGTTTTTGCTATCGTATGGACTATGTTTTATTCGTCAAGGACAACAGGAGTACAATAAATTAAAGATTTTTTTAAATTGTACTGTGATATTAACATGAGATTACCTAAATCTTATAACTTGACATAGGTACTAGTGCATTTAATCTTCATTAGGTAAAATAACTAGAAAAGATGAATCATGAATAAATAGTTACAAGTACTTTTATTGAATCTCAAAATATTCGATTCCAGTTCCAAGAGCATTCAAGAAATCAAATGTTTATTATGGAACAACAATTGAAAATGATCAATGATGAATGTTCTTCAATGAAAGAATCATTTCTATGAATGGATAGATATTATCTATTAAATAGCAATAATCATAATTTAATCACATCTTGACTGGTAGTAAAACCGGTTACGTTCCGATTATAAGGAAGGAAGTATTGTTCAATTAGAACTATCAGCGTCTGACCAGTAAAATAGGAACGTTTTGAACAATTAAGACCCTTCTAATAAGTCTGCTAATTAATATGAACTTCAATAATTCATTGCCTAGGTCAGCGAATTCGTGGACGCCTGATATCCGTTTTCTGGTTCGTAACGCGACCAATAACATGAACATTTCACTATTTTAATAATAGTGATGTCAACTAGACTTGGTAGCAAGACTTTTTAAAAACGATTTGCTGTATTATCTCGTTACTACACTAAGGCAAAAAGACATTATCGTGCCATATCAGTGACCCGACGTTAGCGGAGGACTACCCTTCAACCAAAACAGTTTTTGCTAAACTCATCTATCTGAATTCTAAGCCAGAAAGCATGTTACTTTATTAAATTTCTCTGTGTTAGTAGGATGAACCATGTTTTTATTAACCCATTAAACACAAGACAGAATTAAATCGTAATCCTACTACCAATACAAACCATCTCGTTTCTTGAGAGTGTTAGAGAATATTTTTAGGCGGCTAACCTCCACGCGCGGTTATAATTAGATCTGAGATCCTCGAGTGGTGCTGCATTATTTATTAACACTGACTTTTCAAAATTATCTCCTTCGTGACTATTATTAGATGCATTTTTTTGCTAACGAAAAATTACGTCGGTGGTCAAATGATCGCTGTCAACAAGATCGTTTGTGTTGGTCAAACAAAGTGCTATTGAAGTATACGATTTCTTCATCTTCAATTTGGATTAATGCCACATGTTTGGCAATAGGCTCTCGTGGCCTCTCCTCTTTGATAATGAAATTAATAGTGAGACTATCGAAAAGTAGATGTAACATAAACAAATTCTATTTTTAGTATATTCATAGCTAGCATGCTTTGGTAGGTACATACTTGATATAATGCCTATTATCCCTATTTTACTAACGTGTACTATGAAGATGTATCACAATATAAACTCCTGAATGAATCTGAATGAGGCGCCGACATTGAGATAGACATATTCTAGATTTGGAATGATATACATATCATGAAACATGGACTACTTATTATCCAGGTTAACGCGGGCGATATTGCTGGCAAAAGCTACCTACGTCCTAAGTGGCTAATGCCGCCTATAAACCCAGAAGTGCTGACAAAGGAATGACAGTCCACGTGTTTCAACTCACGTGCGAAGTCATGATAGTTGATTTCTTTATCTTTTTCGGCTTTCACGAGATTTTCGTCATACGTAACTCTTACATCACGTTTCGGTGTATGTGCGTGCTATGTGGTGTTCTAATCTACAATACGCACTCCATATTGTTAGCAGAACTGACTATTGGGTTACGGTATTGCAATGGATAAATGACTTCATCTAGTTCAATGTTGGCGTGTAAAAATCCCACCAAGGTATTTGCAAAAAGAACAACCATTTCAATGATTATGTTGTGAATATGCATAGCAAACTGAAATTAGATCACTTACAGAAAAAGCTTATACTCTGAAACTACAAAGATGAAACTCAATTCAAAGACTTGTTAAGATTTTGTGACCACGATGGTTCTACCAAGTTTGATGGTGAAGAAGAAACGGAATTCAGAATACGTGCGTTGTGCGTTTAGCCGTAATCATTAGTAATTACACCAAGAAGGCAATCAGAGCCAGCAAAACCGGGATATAAAGTACATAACTACATAGTACATACATATGTATTACGAAACCATGGCAAACATTGTTCCGAGTATTCGATTAATATACGAATGGATTGCTGTTGGTGTTGAAATAATGATAGATTAGCTAACCAACACACTGACGACGTGTAGTTCCCTCAATTAAATCCAACTTTCGCGGAAAGATAAGGTGATGTATTACCAGTTGCGTTCTTTCCGCACTGTCAGTCTACGATTTACATTTCGGCATTAAAATACGAACGAGGAAACTTATGTCATTATGTTCCATCCTCAACCAAACCATGACTTAGTGTAAAACAAGGAAAACTGTACACAGAAAAACCGTTTGATGTGATTTGTTTTTAACAGGAACTAATGGAAAACGTAAATGTTTAGAAGTCATGTTATAAATATTTCAATAGCTGTAAGTAAATATTTACAACGTAAACATAAGTTGTTGATTAAACGTCATTATTTTATGCACACGAGTGATTTACGTTCGTATCGTGACACTCGA